ATCACACATTTATCACAACGAATACGGACGAAATCCACTAAACGATTTGGTGTGATATGTGTGTGATAATCTTGTGATATTACTATTATAACATCACTTGCGCACTCAATTTGATCATAGTTTCGATCTGTTAGGGTTAGACAATCACACATTTATCACAACGATTACTCATGGTTTCGATAGGTTATGGTTACACTTCATTGATCATGGTTTCGATAGGTTATGGTTACACAATCACATAATTATCACAAGGGAAGAGGAGAGAGTGGAAAAGAACGTGCAGGAAAAAAAAGGGATAATTATGACTAATTAAAATAAAATAAAAATTATAAAATTAATTAATTACATTACTGCCATTATTAATTTATTTATATTTAATATAAGTTAATTTATTAATTAAAAAAGTTTGAGKTTATTAGATTRTTYTCGCATTCTCGTAAATCACAGGGGTTCTCGTTTGAACCTCCACCTACATATACATACATATATATGTGTTTGAGTGTGTATGTATAATTACATTCTTGGTCCCTGTAATATATAGATGTATAATTTTTTCTTTATTTCTTAATTAAAAAATAAGCAAAAAAACTAAAATACCTTTGAATTTAACTGGGTTAACGGAATTCTATTGATTTCGTTAGAGGAAGGGGCTCAATAAGTGCGAAAATCTTAATAGGGACCACTATGGGTAGAAAGTGTAAACTACATGGACCAAATCCATAATTTACTCTATATATAACTAAAAGCCGAACACGAATTCTTTGAAAATTGAATAAAGTAATGAGTAGATAATTTAATCCCGATTTCGAATTCTTGATATCATTTCTTTATAAGTTTTATATATTCGTTATTCTTTTTTTTTAGTTTTATTACTTTATATAAATTTAATTTCTTCTACAGTATTTTTCAGAACACATTAACACAAACAAGTGCGGGTGTGGGTGTATGTATATACATGTCACCTTAGGGCACGCCTTGAAAAACACAATAGTCTCGTCATCGCTCTTAAGGCTTGAGGCTTGACTTCGTTGTTACGTTACGTCTCACGTCATTTAAAAACATTGACTATTTATGAAACACAAAGAACATATAGCTTTAATCTTTAAGTAATTCACAAAAACATTTTTAAACTTGCTATATTTATTTTTTGAGAACAATTTTTTTGAATAATAATAATAACATAAATTTTTTTAATAAAATTAATAATAATTCTAAATAATCAACTTCATACGCTTTCTTGTAAGCATCGGAATGGGACGGGGATGAAACTGTGACTTCGATCCTCATCCCCAT